GTAGACCTATAAATCTGCATAAATAAATGAATGCTCATATTTATATGTAATAAAACTATAGCTTTTCAATACTTTAGTACAAATGTAAGTATAAAATAAAAATTTAATGTGTAAATATCTAATAATATCTTATACTGATATGTATTAATAAAATATTTCTTGCTTATCAGACCTAAACAAAGAAATTAATTTCAAATGTATTGCATCAAATTAGCTAATAAAATATGACATAAATGTGTATTTTATACAGTATAAGTGCAAGTATAAAATGTGTACATTTCTAATATTTCATTAATATACTATACATATTTTTTTCTTATCAGATCTATGACCCATTTTGAGTCATGACCCACCAATAGAGAACCATAGAAATAAAGTAATATAAAATAATTAATATAAAAATATAAGCTTAATTATTTTTACTGATTTATTTATTGACTTTATGATTATTTGTTCTTTGCTTATGTAATGGAAATACTGTACAAGCTTGAGAGAGAGAGACAGATGATCAAACGTGCTGCATGTGACGTCATCGAGCATCATTCCTCCGTATCCTTGGAGAACTCGTTCCATGGCGACTGACTGGTTGCTATAGAAATGCTCGTTTCTCTCCGAGTTCCCGCGGAATAGCGCGGCGTGTCGGTGAGCACGGACTCCATGGAGAAGCTTTTGTTCCTGTGTGGAGCGAGCGGAGAGCCGGTATCAATGCTCACTGTTCGTGTGTGTGTGTGTGTGTGTGTGTGTGTGTGTGTGTGTGTGTGTGTGTGCGCGCGCGCGCGCGCGCGCTTTTGAGAGGCAGATAATATTTGGGGATGTTCTGAAGCGGGTCTTTGGTCGTTTTCCGTGCTAGTGCGTCGCGGGTTCGTGTGTTTGTATATATATTACATTATATAGGCTATGTATATATCTGAGGATATACATGTGTATTCCCGCCTCACAGACAGACGGATGAGGTTCCTGATGTCGAGCGTGTGCTGTAATTATTACTGTGTTTGCTGTTATAACCTGTGGATCTCTCTCTGTGTGTGTGTGTGTGTGTGTGTGTGTGTGTGTGTGTCCGTCTCTCTGCACAGAGGGTTGCTTTGCATGCAAATTGAGAAGCGGAGATTCAGTCTGACTCTAGATTAGAGTAGAAAAGTCTATTAGTCTCCTTTTATCTCTTCTGTTCTGTACAATTCTGTTCCATTTCATTCTATTCTACTGTACGCATAACCCATGTCTAGACAGTTACTTAGTTTTACTGCACTGAAATCCTTCTATTGTATTCTGCATTTTCTATTTTGTTCTACTCTACTGTACACCCATCCATATAGTCTAGACTGTTAAGTCATCTTTATTCTATTCTACTCTATTCTGTTCTATTCTGTTTTGTATTATTTTATATTCTGTTCTATTCCATTCTAGTCAAGTCTGATATTTCCTGTGTTGATACACTGAATTCTATTCTACCTTTGTCTATTCAATTATGTCTTTGTCTGTTTTGTTATAATTCTATCTTTGCCTATTCTAATCTGCCTGTCTATTCTATCTTATTCTATTCTATTCTTCATCTATTCTATCTTTGTCTATTCTATATGGCCTTGTCTATTCAGTTCTATCTTTGTCTATTCTATATGGCCTTGTCTATTCAGTTCTATCTTTGTCTATTCTTTATTTGTCTTGTCTATTCTATCCTTTTCTATTCTATTCTTCTATTCTGTCTTTGTCTATTCTAAATTTGTCTTTGCTTGTCTATTCTATTCTATCTTTGTCTATTCTATTCTATATTTGTCTATTCTATTCTTCAATTATATCTTGGTCTATTCTAAATTTGTCTTTGCTTGTCTATTCTATTCTATCTTTGTCTATTCTATTCTATATTTGTCTATTCTATTCTTCAATTATATCTTGGTCTATTCTAAATTTGTCTTTGCTTGTCTATTCTATTCTATCTTTGTCTATTCTATTCTATATTTGTCTATTCTATTCTTCTATTATATCTTGGTCTATTCTAAATGTGTCTTGTCTATTCTATTCTACCTTTGTCTTGTCTATTCTGTTCTATCTTTGTCTATTCTATTCTTCAATTCTATTAAATCTTTGTCTATTCTATTCTTCTTCTATTCTACTCTATCTTTGTCTGTTCTGTTCTGACTCGTCTCCATACTGGCGTGATGACTCCGACCTCCAACCAGATGGAACTGGATAAATATAGTTAATGTTCTGATCCAATCTGACCTCTGACCTGTAATGCCGCCTGAATCATAATCACACACTGTCCGTTCAATGGCCAGAGGAGAACTGAGCGTCTGAGTCTGGATCCTTGCCACTGTCGCCACTTTTTCCCCTTTCTTCGCTTTGTCGCCATTGTTTTTTGCCTTGTTTAGTTGAGGACATTTAATTTGATATTTAACAATATTATTACAACATTATTTTCCTGTTATCTCTGTAAAACTGCTTTGAAACAATCCGTTTTGTAAAAAGCGCTATATAAACAAAAGTGACTTGACTTGACCTATTCTATTCTATTTTATTTTATTCTATTCTTTATCTATTCTATTCTATTCTTGATCTATTCTATTCTATTCTTCATCTATTCTATTCTAACTTTGTCTATTCTGTTCTATTCTTCTATTCTATCTTTGTCTATTCTATTCAATTCTTCATCTATTCTATCTTTGTCTATTCTATTCAATTCTTCATCTATTATATTCTATCTTTGTCTATTCTATTCAATTCTTCATCTATTCTTTTCTATCTTTGTCTATTCTATTCAATTCTTCATCTATTCTATTCTATCTTTGTCTATTCTATTCAATTCTTCATCTATTCTATTCTATCTTTGTCTATTCTATTCAATTCTTCATCTATTCTATTCTATCTTTGTCTATTCTATTCAATTCTTCATCTATTCTATTCTATCTTTGTCTATTCTATTCAATTCTTCATCTATTCTATCTTTGTCTATTCTATTCAATTCTTCATTTATTCTATTCTATCTTTGTCTATTCTATTCTATCTTTGTCTTGTCTATTCAATTCTTCATCTATTCAATTCTATCTTTGTCTATTCTGTTCTATTCTTCGTCTATTCCATTCTCTCTTCATCTGTTCTATCCTGTGTGTGATGTGGTTGTTCTACTGAGGTCAGAGGTCGCCAGTTGCAGATTATGGAAGCGTCTGTAAATGGCAGATCTGCTGTTCATTGAGTTTGTGCTGTTTTTCTGAGCTTGAGCTCCTCAGGGACTGAATCTCAGCTCACCGTTCAGTAGGGCAGTAGGCGAGTGTGTGTGTGTGTGTGAACGGCAGCAGACTGTAATGGTGTTATTACCTCCAGCTTGTGTAGGGAATATTCAGTGTGTATCAGCGCACGTTTTTTTATTTCAATATGTATCTGGTGTTATTTTGCCACCCGCTCCATTAACTTTGCCATGACGTTTCCGCTAATACGTTTACCCTCACACTCGCTCACACACACACACACCAGGTGCACGTGTCGACCGCGAGTCCCTGCGGATGATGAAGACACGAACGACTCAACACAGATACACATGTGACCTTACACACACACACACACACACCGTGACCTGAACAGTCTCATGGGAGCGATCCACACACTCAAACATTCCTGTAGTTCAGTTTACATACAGTAGCTCGTCTTTATTAGACAGGAAGTGCAGAGAAGAAATGTCTGGATTGTTTTTATTCAATTCTATTATTTTATATTCTGTTCTTTTGTATTCAGCTGTACACATTCTTCATCTTTTCTATTCTATTCCATTCCATTTTGGTCAAATCATCTAGTTTCTTATTTTCTGTTCTACTCAGATTCCCTCCATCTAGTCAGGACTGTTGGTTTCTGTTCTGCTGCATTAAAGTTAGCCTATTCTATTCTATTCTGTTATGAATTATCACTATTGTTTCATATTCTGTTCTTTTCTATTCAGCTGTCCTCATTCTTTTAATGTGTTCTAGATTTTTTTTTCTGTCCTACTGGACTGAAGTTCTTATATTCTATTCCGTTCTTCTATTCTATTTCGTTCTATTCAAGTCAAGTCATCTAGTTTATCATTTTCTATTCTGTTCTATTTTATTCTACTCCGATTCCCTCCATCTAGTCAGGACAGTTATTTTCTGTTTTGCTGCATTAAAGCTATTCTATTCTGTTATGTATTTCTATTGTTTCATATTCTTGTCATTTCTGTTCAGCTGTCCTTTCTTTTCATCTGTTCTAGATTTTTCTTTTCTACTGAACTGAAGTTCTATTCTGGTCTATTTTGGTCAAGTCATCTAGTTTATTAAATTCTATTCTGTTCTATTTTATTTTATTCCTGTTTTCTCCATCTAAGCAAGACACTTACTTTTTGTTCTGATACACCGAATTCTATTCTATTCTATTCTGTATTTCTATTGTTTCATATTCTTGTCTTTTCTGTTCAGCTGTCCTTTCTTTTCATCTGTTCTAGATTTTTCTTTTGTACTGGACTGAAGTTCTATTTTAGTCAAGTCATCTAGTTTATTATATTATATTCTATTCTGTTCTATTTTATTCCTGTTTTCTCCATCTAAGCAAGACACTTACTTTCTGTTCTGATACACAGTATTCTATTCTATTCTATTCTATTCTATTCTGTATTTCTATTGTTTCATATTTTTGTCTTTTCTGTTCAGCTGTCCTTTCTTTTCATCTGTTCTAGATTTTTGTTTTCTACTGGACTGAAGTTCTATTCTGTTCTATTTTAGTCAAGTCATAGTTTATTATATTCTATTCTGTTCTATTTTATTTTATTTCTGTTTTCTCCATCTAAGCAAGACAATTACTTTCTGTTCTGAGACACCGAATTCTATTCTATTCTATTCTATTCTATTCTATTCTATTCTATTCTATTCTATTCTATTCTATTCTATTCTATCCTATTCTATTCTATCTTTGAAATGCAGATGAGAAATGTTTGTATTGTTTTTCTGAAATGCAGCTGTTGGTTAAAGTGTTTAACTCAGTGTTTTGTTGTCTTCTCTCAGGTAAATGTTGAGGACAGCAACGACATGTTACCTAAATCCAGACGAGCTCTCACCATTCACGAGATCGCAGCGCTGGCTAGATCTTCTCTTCACGGTACACACACACACACACACACACACACACACACACACACACAATGCAGTCCATTTACCAATAAATCCTTGTCTTTTTCACAATCTGTCAATGAAATGTAATGATTCATTTGCTCTGCTTATAAAAACATCTTTCTTTATTTGAGTCGCAGACATCACACTGTTGATGTTAACCAATAGTCAAATATCTGTTTAGTTTAAGCTGCACCTTATTAAAACTTTGTCAGATATATGGGCTGACAAGGTTTTAAATGCATATGGCCATTTGACTATTGGTCAAATGCATTGAATTTTAGTTTAGTTTAGAGTTAAAACTTAGTATTAATAGTTAGTATTTTAATGTTATTAAAAATAAACAATAGTTAGTATTTTAATGCTGGTTGATGTTAACCAAAAGGCAAATACCTGTTTTTTGTTTTTGTTTTTTGGGCTGTTGATGTATGTGATGCACCCTATTTAAAACCTTGTCAATAGTTAACAGAGTAATTTAAAGCTGATTAATGGAAGTGTAACAAAAGTCCCTGCAATAAAGGACAATAACAATAGATTTGATAATGAAGCGTCTCGGTTCAGACACATTGAGATGCTGTATTGTTCTCATAATGTAGGTCATGTGGTCTCCACAAAGATCACCAAACCTGACTCTCACACACACACACACACACACACACACACACACAGGTTTGTTTTGCTATACATGTGAGGACATTCCATAGGTGTAATGTTTTTTTATACTGGAAAAACTGTATTTTGTCCAGTATAAAATACATAGGAAATATCCTCATAAATCAATACCAGTATAATACTCATGTCATTATACAAATGTTTATCCTTAAAAATCACACAACCAAACACACACGCACAACTTTCGACACAAGATATCTTCACGGTAAACGTACTTGATGAGTCCTTTGTGTGGCACCGACTGACACCGTGACCTGCATTATTCCTCATGTATTATGTATTATACCGCGTTGGTGTCGCTGACCCCTGAGTCTCTGTGTGTGTGTGCAGGAATCTCGCAGGTGGTCAAAGATCATGTGACGAAGCCCACGGCGATGGCGCAGGGGCGCGTGGCGCACCTGATCGAGTGGAAGGGCTGGTGTAAGCCCACGGACGCTCCCAGCGCTCTGGAGTCCCACCTCACGTCATACTCGCATCTGTCCGAGGGAGAGCAGGAGGCGCGCTTCGCTGCCGGTCAGTGACGTACACACACACACACACACTGGGCCCTCTTTTAACCAGCTAAAGGCGGGCATACACTGCGCGATTTTCATCCGATTTTGAGCCGAATTCTGACTCGTGCGACTTTTCGCACAGTTGAAGCAACGCTACGAACCGATTGCCCTAAACTCAGTGTTTTTTCCCTCACTGCACCTGCGCGAAAACAGAAGTTTAACCATTTCATCTGCAGCAAAAATAAAATTAAAATAAAAACGAAAAGAGGGAGATCTTTAAGTTCTGTAGTTCAAACTAGCTACAAATTACTGTCGCTTACCTCCAGTTCGTGTTGCAAAATGGATAATATTACCCACGTCTTCGTCTTCCAAGCCACATGCGATGTAACACTTCTTTTATTAATTTGTTAAACAATTTTTTTTTAAATAAACCTGTTTTTAATTTTCATTGATGATTAATTATGGCAATGTTCTGACATATTATAGACTGCTAATAGTTATTTAATATGCCTATAATTAATTGTAATCGACCTAAATGTTTTAGACAATTTTTAATGAGGAGTAAGATTGTGTAATATTTTATTATCCTGCTGTGAAAATATTGCGTGGCAAATTAATTATAATAGCGGATCAATTTAATAATAAAATTAGCCTATAGGCCTCCCCTAATAATTTATACAATAATACTAATAATAATTAAATGCATAAACTGAAAATGCTAAATCATCTTGATATGGATAGCAGATGCTTGTTTTGACAATATCTACACACGTCTATAGGCGCAATCCAGGGGGTTATCGCAGATATTACACGTATAGTGTGAGCAGTGAAGTCGCAGCTCGACGATCGGACCGTACAGTGTGAGCACATAAATCCTGAACTTTGGCTTTGCATCGCATGCGATTTACTCGTTGAGTGTGAGTAGGTACCTTGCTGAAATCGCACAGACATCGCACAGTGTATGCCCGCCTTAAGTGCTGGTCTAAAGCTCACGGTGCAACCTTAGTTTCTGCGTGCCAGAATCCACTTCTGCTTGTTTAATGACGGGAAAAATGCTCGGCGCTCCCGGCGCTGGTCTAAAATGTGGCGTAGCGACCAATCAGAGTCTCATCTCCCGTTGCCTTCAAAAGCCAGTTGTGCTCGAGCCGTGGCGGATTCGCTATTAAAGGAGTAGTTCACTTTTGAAAACACTTTTGCTGATAATTTACTCACCCCCATGTCATCCAAGATGTCCATGTCTTTCTTTCTTCAGTCGAAAAGAAATTAAGGTTTTTGATGAAAACATTCCAGGATTTTCTCCATATAATGGACTTCAATGGGGTCCAAACGGTTCAAGGTCCAAATGAGAGTTTCAGTGAAGCTTCAAAGTGCTTTAAATGATTCCAGGCGATAAATAAGGGTCTTATCAAGCCAAACGATCACTCGTTTTATAAATAAATAACAAAGTTTAAGTTTTATAAGCTCAAACGCTCGCCTTGCTCTGTTCTGTAACGCACTCCTGTTCGAACTCGTTCAGCAAAATGAACAAATCTTTTTCTGAGTCATTTGGTTCATTCGGCGAAAGAAACTTTGTTATTTATTTTTTAAATGAGCGATCGTTTCGCTTGATAAGACCCTTATTCATCGTCTGGAATCGTTTAAAGCCCTTTGAACAAGTTTGCAGTTTGTACTGAAAGTTTCATTTGGACCGTTTGGACCCCATTGAAGTCCATTATATGGAGAAAAATCCTGGAACGTTTTCATTAAAAACCTTCATTTCTTTTCGACTGAAGAAAGAAAGACATGGACATCTTGGATGACACGGGGGCGAGTAAATTATCAGCAAAAGCTTTTTGAAAAGTGAACTACTCCTTTAACCAGACGGGATTTGCAAGTGGAAAGACTGAACGCTTCTCTAGCGAGGAACCCGATCTGCTCGTGCGCGAGGTTAAAGCTGTGTCTGTGTGTGAGCGCTCGAGGTTAAAGCGCTAGCAGACCATCTACGGGACAAGCCGGATTCCGCCATGTTTTTGTGTACACATTACAATATTAATATTTTACATTGTAATCCTTTTATTTTTGTGTCCCTGTGTGTAATAAGCGTTGTGAACCCGCACATTACTAACGACTAATACTGCATCACTGACTTCAGACCAGGGTTCAGTTGGTCAATGGCTCAGTCTATAGAGTGCCGAAGTTACGACGTCACTCTGTAGGCCAAATCGCGGAAGTGAGTTAGCATTTTAGCATTACGGTTCCCTTGCTCTAAAGTCAATGGGTTTTTGAATGGGTTTTTGCTAAATCGCCTGAAATAAGGTCTGTGGTGAACAAAGCCTCTAAATATTTTCACGTTTTGATCTATGACATAGAACACACAGTTATAACCTGCTTGTGTTTTTTTTTTTAAAAACTTTAAATAAGCTTCAAAATGTAACTTTTTTTGGGGTGAACTATCCCTTTTAAGTACGAAATTTTCATATGCGTTAGTTTCGTATTCGTCAAAAAAAACCTTCGAGTCCGATGCGTATCAATCTGTAGCGGAAAAATCTGCTAAACAATACAAAATTGAGTCTTCAAGCACTGATGATGTTTCTGTTGTCCGCTCTCTTCTTAAAAATAGGCGAAATATCGTGTTCATCCAATCCTGAGATTGTGTAGAGAGGAAGGAGATTTCCACCTCCAGCGTGTGTGTGTGTGTTTTACATGCCTCTTTCATGCAGCACAGATGCAAAGTTGTTCAATTTAACCGGTTGACTGGAAAAAAGCTTTCTAAAAATCTAAATTGATACAAAAGTATCTATAATGATTTGAAAGTGCTCACTATAATAGTGCAGTGCATGTAATATAATGCATCACCACATGTCTATTTGAATTGATGTTGATGTCGATTGGTTCTGATAATGCTTTTTAAACACCACAGCGTGTCATCGGTTTGATTTCCCAGGGATCAATGCATGCACTGATCAAATGCAAATGCATAAAAACATCTGCCAAATGCATGATGGGAGAGAAGGACTGGACACCACTGAACTCATTCGTTGCATGCAAAGCATCTGATTAATGGAGAAATCACTCTTGATCTCTTTTGATGCCTTTTTAAAGAGGACTCTTTAGATTATTGCAGAACGGGAAGAAAGGCAATACGTCAAGCGAGCCACGGCTTCTGCTGCTGGGACGGTGACTGTTAACAGGATAATGAAGTAATCAGACGAGCCAATCGAGTTATCAGTTTATGTGCGCTTAATTCTGCTTCCTTAACAATTCATTAATATCCTCACATTTCCCATCCGAACTTTCCCAGGATGAGGCTGGTGTGACAAAGCTTTTTCCTCAGCGACGGCAGGACGATTTATGGGCTGAACTTGAGAGAGTCATTCACAGCTCTCTCTCTCTCTCTCTCTCTCTCTCTCTCTCTCTCTCTCTCTCTCTCTCTCTGTCAGTGTCGTGGGATTTCCCTTTTCATAAATGGAAAAATTATTAATGTAATTTTGTTTGTGCATGCGCTATATGTCCTCGTCAACATGTGTGTTTTTTGCCCACACGCATTTACTGCCCATCACTGCACACACACACACACACACACACATAGTGACACGGTGGGTCAAATTGAACTCTAGGAAAATTGCCAAACCTCAACAAAACTTGCTGTGTGAGTGTTTGCTGACGAAGGGTGAAAGATGAATGGAAGGATGAATCTCTGAATTAACACAAGCTAAGGAGAGAGAGAGAGAGAGAGAGAGAGAGAGAGAGAGAGAGACTTCTGACTTGATGGCATTATCCATACTTGTTAATGCTTGTTAGTGCTGGTTTATTTTATTTTATATAGCACCTTTTGGAATTATAATTGTTATTTTTAGGGCTGTAAAACGATTAATCGCATCTAAAATAAAAGTTTGTGTTTACATAAAATGTGTGGGTGCACTGTGTATAATTATTATATATAAATACACACACATGCTTGTATATATTTGAGAAATATTTTAATGTATATACTGTATATAGATTTACATATAATGTATATTATATATAAATATTTTATATACAAGTAAATTATATATTTTTTCTTAAATATACATGCATGTGTGTGTATTTATATATACAAAATAATTATACACAGTGCACCCACACATTTTATGTAAACACAAACTTTTATTTTAGATGTGATTAGTCACGATTAATCGTTTGACAGCCCTAGTTATTTTGTTTTATTTTATTTAACTTTTATTGAAATGTATTTTATTGTTTTGCGCATATAGATTTATTTTGCTTATTTTATTTTCATTTTATTTGGCATCCATTACGATAATATTTATTTTGCTTTATTTTTGTGCATATTATGCCTATTGAAATGAAATATATATATATACTATTATTATATTTAGCTTTTATTTTATACCTATTGACATTTTAATTATTTAGCTTTTTAATTGAGACTTCATTTGCTTGCACTCTCTTGTTATTTTACTGTATTATTCTTATTTTGTAAGTTCTATGCAGATATGCCGCAAGTACTTCTGTGGTCAAATATATTCTTTGCCCTGTCGATTAAACCAGAGACACAGCGAGAGCGTTAATTAGCTAATTGCTTTTATAACCCAAGCACTGCACATATGTGTGAGCATGTCTGGACAGAGCTGTGTGTGATATGAACCGTCTCCCTGAGGACACTGCTATGATGTCATAAGAATTTCAAATATAGGCAGTGTTCCATTTAGAATGGCCTGTCAATCAAATATGGGTTCTATGTGGCAATCAAAGAAGAATCTATCAGCCCGTCTCCACGGCGACACATCACACTCTCTGCTACATTTGTTAAAGTGACTGCAGTGCCTAGCAACCGATATGTGGGATCTATTTTAAATATGGTGTGTGTATTATGAAGGAATGGCATACAGTTTACTGGGGAAAAAAAACAAGGTTTATAGGAGGAAGTGGGGCAGATGGTGGGTGTGACGCAATATACATGTTTAATTGAACTATTTGGTGAATAAATCTTTCACATTTTTATTTTAATTAAGTATTCTTTTTTTGCACTTTTTTCTTATTTAATTTATTTATTTTGTTTTTTTCTTGCAGATGTCTCTGTGTATAAGCTATTGGACACCTTAATTTCCTTCGGGATTAATAAAGTATCTCTGTCTCTATGTATTCCAGTAATCTTCAGGCAATTGTAACTGACATGATTACGTAATGATGTATGTAATTTCATGAATTGTGTGTTTTGTTTTTTTTATCAGGGGTGGCAGAGCAGTTTGCCATCGCGGAGGCAAAGCTTCGGGCCTGGTCTTCAGTGGACGGTGACGAGTCTAACGATGATTCTTACGATGAAGATTTTCTACCTGCAAACGAGCCCGTCACACAGAGCACAGGTACACACACACAATCATAAAACACACATAAATCAGAGTCAGTGCAAAACACATGCGCACCTCTTCGTGGAGTTGAAGCATGTATCGATTCACCAAGTTGCTATTTCAATAATGATCTATTGATTATTTATAGCATTTTTTAATTTTTATTAAGGCTAATGATGACCAATTTTCTGTTTTTCTTTTTCTTTCCCCCTCAAACTAAACGCTGAAACGAAGCGCAGACATTATTGTCCTAGTGCCCTACTTTCATTCAGAAAACATCTATTCCCCATTCTCCCCCTCTCTTTAGTTTTGCTCTCTGGTGCTATTTGATATCCCAGCATTCATGTCTCCTGCAAGTTGAATGTGTTCTGCTGCAGCACACCGTAGAGAGAGAGAGAGAGATAAAGTTGTACCACATCCACACTGTACAAAATAAACCATACATTTTACGGTAAAAAAACGGCAGCTGTGGTTGCCAGAACTTTACCGTTAAAAATACGGTAGGAACGTTAATGGTTTTACAGACTTAACTTAAAATTTACAGTAATAAACCGTAATTTATTTTCTGATAAAATGTGGATTTACCAACTTATTGATGTATTGATATCTGTTTTAGACCATTGTAATACACTGACAACCAACAATCATCACAGCAGTTACATGAGCTCATCACAAGTGAATACTTGTAAAAAAGCAATACTTAATTAAAGAAGCTGCACAATGTCATTCACACAAACATTAAGCACCATCATGGTAACACACATGAAATTAAAAAAAATGCAATAAACATTAATTTAACAACATTAAATGTAACATATAACCCTAATGTACATAACTGATTAGAAAAAAAAAACAATAAAACTATGAGGAACCATAGTTATTTCAACAAAAATACATAAAATGTGAAGTTCCCGGAATTGTGGGAATGTCAATTTACGGTTTTTCACTGTAAATTATACAATGATTTGTTCTTTTTCACTTTCAAAAACTGATAATTTTACAGTAAAATACCGTTAAATTTAATCACAGTTATTTACCGTGTATAGTACGGAAACGTTCTGTTTACCAATTAACAGTTTTGCACTGTAGCATTTTTACAGTATTTTACCGTTAAAATCACGGTTATTTTTTACAGTGCAGCTTGTCTCTTTATTCGGCTACAGCTTGCAGGTTTACACCTTGCTCGCTGTACGACACGTTTCCACTGCCAATTAAAGTGTTAATTCACCCAGAAATGAAAAATCTGTCATCAATTACTCTTCCTCGCGTCGTTCCAAACCCATAAACCCGTTCATCTTCGAAACACAAATGAAGATATTTTGAATGAAATCTGTACACTAACATGCACTAACAATGACACCTTAAAATAAAGTGTAAAAAAAGTTGTTGTTTTTTGTCCTGTTTGTTTATTTTTAATTAATTGTTGCTACTGGAAACTTGCATTTCCTTAACGGATGAAGTATCTATCTATCTATCTATCTATCTATCTATCTATCTATCTATCTATCTATCTATCTATCTATCTATCTATCTATCTATCTATCCATCCATCCATCCATCCATCCATCCATCCATCCATCCATCCATCCATCCATCCATCCATCCATCCATCCATCCATCCATCCATCCATCCATCCATCCATCCATCCATCCATCCATCCATCCATCCATCCATCCATCCATCCATCCATCCATCCATCCATCCATCCATCCATCCATCCATCCATCCATCCATCCATCCATCCATCCATCCATCCATCCATCCATCCATCCATCCATCCATCCATCCATCTATCCTTCTGTAACCAAATAAGCAGGACAGAGACATGTGTTGCTTCCCAATTAAAACATTCTTTAAAACAAAAATACTGTTTAAAATACGCGCAGTGGTTTGATTCTAACACACCTGTTGTCTCCTCAGATCTGTCCTCGTACCCTCATTACCTGCGGGATCTCTTACACACTCAGGTGTGTCAGGCTCACCTGCGGGGTCGAGGTCTGTGTGAGGCCGAGAGCGGGGTGGGAGCTGACCTTTCACCTCCTGTGGGGTCACCGGGGTCACCGTCAGACACGCTCTGCTCCAGCACGTACAGCTTGGACGAGAGACACCCGTTGCTTCGGGACCTCGGGCGTCACGTGGACTCGCCCGCCGCAGAACTCACCGCCAAGATCCTCAGCGTTCTTCAGGGAGGGGAGGAGCTACTGTTGGCCCGCCTACACAGGGCGGGGCATCGATTTGGCCACTCCCCCTGTTGCTTGGAAACAGATTCCGAGACGTTCGAAGACACGCCTTGTAAGGACTGTGGAGGCGGAGTCTGTCTTCCGCCGGAATATTCCGTTCGCAGAAAACCGTCAGACGTGGTTTCGTCTGGCATCGTGTCTCTCGACGAGGAAGACGTGGAGGAAGAAGAGCGAGAGGAACAGTGACGTCTCTCGGCCTGACGTGACGTGCATGTTTATATTCGGACTCCGCCCACTAATTTGCATTTTGCTCCGGGCGTCACCTGCTCTCGTTGTTTGAACTCGTGTTTCTTCGTTATCGACTTTGAACGCGAGACTGAATCTTTGGTTCTCAGGCTCACGGGAAAAAAAATGCATCTTGACGAACTTAAAATAAAATCTTACGAGGTTTCGCAAAAAAAAAAGGAGGAACATAAGACTGACGTCAAACTAATTATCGCTGCATGTATTGCAAGTGCGGAACTGAACTTAAAATCGTAAATGTTTGGATCTGGACGTCCAGTTGTTTAGCACGGTTTGTGGATTTGGCTGTTGTGTAACCTGCTCCTTATGTGACGTCAGGCCCCATTGCATTCTGGGTCTTGATCACATGACGCCTGTTCCCTGGTCCCCAGTTGCATCTTTTGGGCATGGCTTGCTGATTACGTCAAACTCACTATCTGGTCTGTCACTGTCGCTTATGAAGCGACGCACGAATGCAGAATGTTTATACCGTGACAGAAAGATGTATTTCACAACATAGAATGCGTACGAATATTGACGATCAAGTTATGCTTTTTTTTTAAGGCTGTCAAACAATTAATCGCGATTAATCGCATCCATAATAAAAGTTTGTGTTTACATAATATATGTGAGTGCACTGTGCAATTATTTTGTATATATATATATAAATACACACGCATGCATGTATATTTAAGAAAAAAAAGATTTATATATAAAATATTTATATATAATATAAATTATATATAAATCTATACAGTATATACATGAAATATTTCTTAAATATATACAAGCATGTGTGTATTTATATATATATATACAAAATAATTATACACAGTGCACCCACATATATCATGTAAACACAAACTTATTTTGGATGCGATTAATCGTTTGACAGCCCTACTTTTTTTGTATTATTATTATTATTTGGAAACACTTTATTGTAGAGTGTCATTGTTATGTATGTTACATCTAGTTGCTATAGTAATAACAGTAAATTATGCATAAATAAAACCTAACCCTGTATATGTAGTTAATTAATATTACTCAGTACTTAAATATATAATTACCCTGTAACAATGACACCTTAAAATGAAGTGTAACCCTTTATTTTACAGTATCCTTGTTACATGTACTTACTATAGCAATAACAGTAAATTATGCATAATTACATGCAACTAATCCTCAACCAAACCCTAATCCTATAGTAAGTGCATGTCATTAATTAATAATCAGTACTTAATTTAATTAATCAACTGTAACAAGGACACCTTCAAATAAAGTGCAATCTATTATTATTATTATTATTATATTAAATTTGATTCATATTCTTGAATGGAATGTTTGCTTTTTCACCGTTTGGTTTTATTTTTAAAAGCATTAATTATCTTAAGACGAACACAATGAATGTTTAGGAGTCGATCCAGTGTTGTTGAGTTTGGCCGTTTGAAGGACTTTCTGAGAGTTGCTCTATTTTTGTACTGTGGTTTTTGCGGTGAATTGCCTATTTGGACTAAGTGAGTAATGCTGTGGTTTGTTCACAAGATGCTTGTTGATTGCTTTCTTTCTTACTTTCTTTCTTTCTCTTTCCATCTCTGAATTATCACTGTGTGATATTGTCTACATCAGGAAAAAAAAACAATACTAATGTGAAAAAGAAACAAATGGCCCTTTTTCTTTATTTGTCTCTGGAGAGGGAGCTTGTGTGCTTTATAATTTTGTTACCGTCGTTCGTCCTCTTTGTGTTCAGTAAATGTCAAGCACGCTCTCTTTTTCTATAAGGGCCACTTTTATTCTCAGACGTTCGCTTGTTACCATGGAGATGCATGATTCACAAAGAAATTATGGCTATAGTCAATCAGACAATTCTGACAATCTAATTAGCCCAGTCACACACACAGACACACACACACTCTCTTACACACACATACACGCTCTCATACACAGTATCAAAGCAAAGATGCATGTCTCTTCTCTTGTATGTGTTTGTGTGCATGCGTGTGTGTATGTGCATTATCCACTGAACAGAGAAGATCATGCAAGTTTACAACGACATAAGGGTGAGAATTTTTTTTTTTTTTGAGGGAAATTATTCCTTTGATTTAAATCCATTCTTAGAAAGATGGGCGAGTGACAATCAAAGATCTGGCATCAATCCTCTCTCACTGAATATATCTTTTACAGTTGCTGTAAGTGATGTTCAAATGAAATGCACCATCTAAAACTCATGACATCACTTCCCCCCACCCCACGGCCCAGCCACTTCCTGTCTAATGCCACATGGAGTGTTTCCATAGCAACAGCAGAGGACACAGCTGCTCATTTTGCAGACAAGAATAGTACCGGGCAAGACGGACGTGCACGTTTGTTTTAATGCTGAAATATTTTACCACATTTCAGTGGCTTGAAATGATTATAGCGGATAGTTCAGAGTCTTAAATTGAGCATGTGCAGTGTTTTTGTGCTCCAGACATGAATGATGATTCCTCAGATAATTAACATTAACTGACAATGAACAGCTGTGTTGTTTTCATTACTTAACATTAACAAAGATCAATGATTATGTTAATGTTAATGCATTAACTAATGGGACCTTACTACAAAGTGTTTCCACTATAGTTTGAATTCATATTTTGAAACAATAATAATAATTATTATTATTCAATATTGATATGTCAAGAAAACGTCAAAGTTGCTATGCGGTTGCTAAGGGTTGTTAGAACAACATAGAGCGCAACGGTCGGTTCCGTAAGTAAAAACTCCTTATTTCGCTTATTTAAACTTCGTTTTAAAATTGTCGTTTATCAGTGGAATTTGTGGTGAAAAACTTCATTACCCATAATGCTGTACAAGATCCCACCAATCAGAGTCGAAACAAGCAAAAGTCGCCAAAATAGCTTTTTTAGCCCCGCCCACTGCCATGAAGCAGATGACGTGAGCAAGTCGATCTCACTCTCTCAATATATACTGTATATAGAGAATAGGAACTGGGATCCGTCAGTGGATCCCAGTAACGCAAGGCATTGTGGGATTTTAGGACACCGCAGTATATTTTTTTGTAGATATGTACTTTTGATCTATTTACTAGTTCTTTATTTATGTTTATGTGTACGGTTAAGTACCAATATACCAAGGTAAACTCCTCGTATGTGAAAACCTGGAAATAAACTGGATTCTGATTTATTACAGAAACTAATCTAGAACATTGCAGAAACAACAAAAACAACAGCGTTTTGCCTAGAAGTTACATTTAATAAAAGTAAACAAATTAACTAAAATGTTTCCTAAGTAAAAATATATATATATACGACGCAGAGTTTAACTTGCAGTATTGTTGTTGTTGCGGTAGCTTGTTCAGATCAGTCGACCACTCTTTGTGTTCGTACGGATCGAGCCCGTTAATTGCCTTTATTTTCTCTGAGTAGCGCTCCTTTGCTTCCTTGTTTAGTTTATCTCGGTAGATAACCTTGCGCTTGATCTTCGCACGGTCCATGTGTGTTTGTTTACCTTAGTTACGACAACCGTGTCCTAAATATGTCCGCCGCTACCCAGAGTGCACTGCGCCATTAAAAGAAGGTACACCGCCATTTTGCTCCGATGACATGAACGCTCAGGCCGTAAACACGACTGTAACGTTACTAACTTCCCAGGAGGACTTGAACGCTGGATTATTGTTGGGTAGGCCTACCTTTGTATTTCTGTCTTGATTTTTTACATAGGGGAGACCAGGGACAGTTGTAACACTTTTTGCAATTTTTAGCAATACATCAAAAACCATTTATACTGGAATATCCAATTTGTTATATTATAAACTTCAATCAGTCTACTGCTGAAACAATGTATTAAAGTGGTTTTATGAAATATGTATAGGTTGCAAAATTAATTTCAATATAGTATCTCCACTGTTACAACCGTCCCAGTGTACAGGGACGGTTGTAACATATGTCAGGGACGGTTGTAACATGTCTAAAATATAGGCTACATAATGAATTAAATGATATAACCTACTCAAAATGGAAAATATTATGTATCAGTCATGTTATTGTGACTATTAATTTATCCAGTATCCAACTCTGGGAAGTGTCTTTGATCCCTGACTCCTCTTCTTGTGGAATCGGTGCAGGGTCACATGGCAAATGCCATATGATGACATTTTACATTTAATTTGCTATGCACAATGCACATTTTACTTTTAATTTGCACATTAAATGGAAACTATGCAGTTTTTTTTAAACTTAATTAGTTTTTAAAATATAAACGAAACTTGGTTGGTGATACAGGGAAAGTTGTAACGGGGCGTTACAACCGTCCCAGTATCACCAACCATGTTTTCATCTCATGTGAGCTAGCTTGACTGCTAGTTTGACACTTGTTAGCCATTTCTATTTTTAGCTGAAAAAACAGTGATTCCAATAATACTTGTTTGAATTGATAAAATTTTTATTTTATAACAGCATCCAAAAAAGTACATCAGAAAGAAAAGTATTTTTTTTTACCTCAAAAACAACCTTTTATTGATAACTCTGCCAGAAAGTTTCAATTGTAGCTCCCTTTTGGAAAAAAATGGTGGGAAACTACCTGAGCATGAGCAGAGTGAGTCTCATCACTCTAGGTTGTTTCTGATTGGAGGAATTCAAAGTGTTACAACCGTCCCTTGTTACAACTGTCCATGGTCTCCCCTACTTTTTATGATTCACCTCATATCTGATTGGCTTGATCCATGGCTTATAAGTCTTTAATGAAGACATTTTTGAAATCTGAAATACTTGGAACCAGCGCGACAGGCACAGCAACCGCATAGCAACGGACTCAAAACTGTTATGATTATACTGACGAGCAGTGGCGTAGCCAGGGGAGGGGCCATGGGGGCACTGGCCCCTCCTGAAAACTGATTGGCCCCCCAGTGTGCCCCCACCCTTCTAATTGTCTGTCACTCAAAAATTCAAATCATAATCTTTCAGCTTGTAGTAGAATAATTCATGATTCCGCGTCGCGCGATGCTTCTCAAAACCACACGGTAAGTTGATATATTTTATACAGCTTATTATTCACCCTGCTGAGGGGAATGTGCTAAAGCCTGGAGTGGAGCGAAAGCACGTTCCTCTCTCCACTCTAAGCATTCTGTAATCACTTCGCTCATGGTCCACTCCGGTTTTTCAATTCCCGCTCACGGAAAAACTGCTCCATGTTCACTCAATTAGTCTTAGATTTTGAGAAGTGCATGTCAGGCTACTGCTCGTTTGCTGCGGTCGTGTGATAGAAAACAGAACACGGGTCAATATTGGTCGTTTCTCAATACCAAGAACGCAAACTTCGGAGAACGAACTCCCGAGGACGAGAGGACGCGAGTCCGGTCATTCTGCTAATGGAATAGCGCGTTCTTGATCGCGTCACTCAGCACGCGGCTACTCCGGTTATATATGGTATAAAACACAACTTTGCTTCTTTTCATCAACAATAAAACGAAATACATATAAAACAGCACTCTGCCTCATTTCATTTATAAATGGACATATTATCATGAACAGATTAATAGCCACAAAAATGTGGTTCAGGTAACCTTATCTCACATTGACTATCTTCACTGCATATATTTATAACACGAAATATAAAACACAACCCTGCTTCTTTTTGTTTTCATCATTAAAACTGACATTTAACAAACAGACATGTATCGTTTTGTTGTATTACACACAGTGAAGAGAATGTATAGTAAAAACATACACATATAAAGAATATTTTATATATTTTAGAATATATAAAATTACACAACCCTGTTTCTTTTGTTAAATGTCAGTTTTAATGATAATATCCCATTCAAAACTATAAGTAGCCTAATAGGCTATAATAAGCTACAATGAGAAATAAAGTAAACAATTCAGTTAAACATAAGTCAGCTCTCTAATGGGTTACAAAGTTAAAGTTAAATAGCCTAAAAGTTAAATATATAAAGTTATGAAACTTCACTTTTCCCTCAGCCAGTTAGCAATGTTTGGTCTTATAAGATAAATTAAAACATGCACTGAAAAGTTATGTAGGTGGTTGATTAGGCCTATTTGTCAAGATAAGTAATTGTTTTTCATAGATTAAAATAGCTTTTAAATTACGCAAACTGGCAATATTAGATCGGTTTAAAACATCTCTCCTTTAAACGCTATATTGGTCTCGACTATTTAAATAAAGTTACAGGAATATGACTTGGCCTGAAAAAAAAAAAAATCAGTCAAAAGAATTTTTTTTATTTAATCCCTGCATCCAGAAACATTCTCAAATAAAAAAATATAAAAAAGATAATTAAATAAAAATGCATGATTAAATAGCAAAATAAATAATTAATACTACTGGATAATTAAGTCACTGTTTCTATGATCCACAAATATTACATTAAACTAAATCATACCTTTTTGAAAAAGTAGCTATCTAACAAAGTATTATATGTGATATTTTACAATCAATATGCTCAAGACTAATTAGCCTTCCTCGAAATAAGCAGATTTGGTCTATTCATCAATGTAAATTTACTGCAACTGCTAAAATGCAAATTGAATAGGATGTGGGGAAAAAGATGTATACAATTTTATTACAGTTTTATGAATTCATTAATTGTGTATTTATTATATGAATGATTAATATAATTATGCATTCATATAAATAATGCTGTTCTATTATTATTTGTGAGTTGGACACTAATACATTGGATTATTTTATTTATTACAGTTTTTCTATTACTTTTGTAAAGTGAAAAGTTAATATAAATTGTATTTTATTGTTTTGATTTAGAGCAGTAAATAACTGCTATTAAAAGATAACAGGGTATCACTGTTTATTGCTGATTTTAAAGCTTACTGAACTTGAAATGATTTGGATATCTATAGTTCTACATAAATACACAACATAAGAATGGCCCCTCTGTAATAATTGTGGCCCCTCTTGTGCCCCCCAGTTGAAAAAATCCTAGAATCGCCCCTGCTGACGAGGTTTGCTCTGGTCTTTTATGGGATGATGTAGTCTATGGCTTCCAAACCGATGTGATGATCGACATCTCCCTCTCACTACAGTTATGTAACGCACTCATTCAGCCTACAGTACAGGCTCTTACAGTCTGATTATCAATCATCTCTTCGACTCCATTTTAAACACAACAAGTGTCTCTGTTTTTCTGTTTCACCCATTCGCTGAATTCCTCCTCAGCGTTTCAACTTCAAACTCTTTAATCTCACTGTTTCACTGTACTGTTCGTCTCTCTCTCTCTCTCTCTCGCTCTCTCTCTCTCTCAGCAAACATTAGCTCTTTTTTAAGGTTAAATGTTATAAAACGCGTCTTAAGTTTCAGTCACACACCATGCCCTGATTGGCCGGATGCTTCCCATTGTGTTTCAGGCCTTCGTTTAACCTTCTCTGCGGTCACTTTCCCCGTTTCCCGCGGTCAGAGACGACTTTGAAGTGTGTGTGTGAGTGAGTGAGTGTGTGTGTGAAAGAGAGAGAGAGTTTGCGTAGCCCATATAAATAGACATTGACCTCCTGTCTGAAACCAGCAGTCAGCACGTCATTACGCACGAGATTCTCTCTCTCTCTCTCTCTCTCTCTCTCTCTCTCTCTCTCTCTGTGTGTGTTCGTGTTTATTCTGGGGTCGAAGTGTGTTAAACATGCATTTGTCTCTCTGCTGTTACTCTCTTAATTAAAGAGGTTCATGGGCTCCGAAGGGTTCGGTTCTGGAAATGACACTCGCTGGGGACGTGAAGTGTCATTCAGCGTTTAATTAGACTGTTCATTCCCATGATAATGAAGTGTGTGTGTGTGGGTGCACAGACACATTACAGGTCTAACCTTACGCTTTCATTTTCTTTTGTATGCCTTTCTATCAAATGAAAATCAGACTGCTGCTTATTTTAAAATCAAAGTGTTTGTTTTTGCATCTTGCTTGGGTTCTAAATAAAATCTATTAAAGTTTCTGTGTATATTTACTGCTCAAAAATAATCTTACAAAACATCACATCTGAAACTGTCTATTAAAGACATATTATTAGCTACAACTCATAAGATTACCGTAACTGCTGTACTTGAAAATACTTCATCTGCAGTAACTTTTTTGGGGTTTTAAATGTATTTGGGTTATTAAAATGTAATTTGCAGTTACGTCAAAAAAGTAATTGATTATGTAATGCATGTTACTTGTTATGCGATACGTTACTCGTAACATCAAAAAGTAATCTGATTGTGTAATGTATGTTTAATGTTTATAATGCATTACTTTACTCGTGACTTAAAAAAGTAATCTGATTACATAATGATTTTTTGTACTGCATCATTTGTAATATCAAAAAGTAATCTAATTATGTAACACATGTAACTTGTTATGAGTTACTCTACTCGTAAGTCGTAATATTAAAATAGTAATCCGATTCTGTATTGCATGTTTCTTGTAATCCATCACTTTACTTGTGACATCAAAATAGTAATCTTATTAAGTAAATAAGATTATTTAAAGATTAATTTAAAGATTATTTACTTAAAAAGTAATCTGATTACGTAATGCATGTTACTCGCAATACATTACTTTACTCGTAGTTAAAAAGTAATCTGATTATGTAATGCATGTAACTTGTAAAGTGTTACTTGTAACATCAAAAAAGTAATCTGATTACGTAATGCATGTTACTCGCAATACATTACTTTACTCGTAACATTAAAAAGTAATCTGATTATGTAATGCATGTAACTTGTAATGTGTTACTTGTAACATCAAAAAAGTAATCTGATTACGTAATGCATGTTACTCGCAATACATTACTTTACTCGTAACATTAAAAAGTAATCTGATTATAAAACCAAAAGCGCACACTGTCCATTGAAATGGACGTCTAAAAAATCTTTGTAAAATGCGTAAAGGAAAAAAAAAAGTTCAGATCTTGTTATTCATGCCCTAAGATAAAAGAAAACAGGGGGAAAAATACTAAACAGGTTGTCATATTTCATGCATGAAAGGGTTCAAAACATGCATCAAGCATCCTGACACTGATTAGGTTTACTTGTAATTGATAAACACACACTTGTGTTTAAGAATAACGTTTATTTAATGTTTTTTTTGACTGGGTTTACTTTTAATTGATCAATTTTTGTTTGTTGCTTTTATTCAAATTTTATTTTCGGTTTTTCGATCAGTTGGGTCTGTCTGATCCCTCTGTCTGGAGAAGTTTTCCATGTCTTATCTCGCTGACCGTTATTCCAGGAGTGGATTCCAGAGCCAAGGCCTTTTATGGAGTGGTTAGGGTGTCCAGCTGACCCACAATGCACTGCGTCTGCTCGCTATATGAGACCCGTTCACCGCAGAGACGCCGCTTCTCTCCTCCACCCGTGAGGCCATGGCTTCTTCAGCCTCGTCGTTCCAGCGCTCGTCACGTTACAGCACCAGCACCGTCCGGTCCTTCAACACCGACTGCCTCCACCCGAGACTTCACAGTGAGTTTGGAGAAGAAACATCCATCAGCTCCATCACAAACGGGTTCGAACCCGAGTCCTTCAGCCGTTGCCATGGTGATGTACAGGATGAGTCATCGTGGGCCGAGTCCTTTGGAGGTTAATCGACTGTTCGTAATACCACAGTGATCAAGAGTCTTTTATGGGTTACCAAGGTAAACAAGTGTTTTATAGGTTACCAAGGTGACCGGGAGTCGTTTGGAGGTTACCATGGGGACCAACAGTACCACACACCCCAAGGAGGAAACCAGGGCGACTGGATCCTCGGAGACGAAGTACAGGGTGAGTGAGGAGAACACCTTTTAATGTAAAATGTAAAGTTCACCAGGCAGGTCCAAGATTTATTCCGCTTTGCTTGTGGATATTTTTGTGAAGGTACTTTCATAAAAGTACTTCATGTTTCATTTTAATGTTCTTGCCGATGGGTTGGGAGTGGAGTGAGTAAGAAAACCCCCCAGAGAGCACACACTAACCAGAGAACCGGTGTGAAAGTGTGATGTACAGCTGCTGCGAGACCTCCGCAGACTGACTAAACACAGAAACAAAACCTGTAGAAGAATGGAGAGAAGGTGCAGCTCATTTTCGGCTAGGACATTTACAGACATTTCCTTTAACCCTAAATCACAATGCATAGTTCAAATTACACCTGTGAACACTTAAAACACTTTTTACTGTTGTTGCAAACTTTTGTGTTTTAAATCTACCTTCTTTTGGACTTCAAAAGTATATATATAGATGTTAGGGCTGTGCAACGATTAATCACTTCCATAATCTTCGTTGCCATTTAAGTGAAATTACTGAACTTAAATATACAAGCTTGATAAAAATTTGATAATAATTTTAGAAGAAAATTTCAAATGGCACTTATGCATCTGAACTCTTCATATATATATATATATATATATAAAATAATTATACACAGTGCACCCACATATATTATGTAAACACAAACTTTTATTTTGGTTTCGATTAATCACAATTAATCTTTGCACAGCCCTAATATATATATATATATATATATATATGTATGTGTGTGTAAAAGGCCAATTGAGTACACTTAAAGCAAGTGCACTTTCATGACTATTCATTTCTTCATTTTTTTTGTTTCAAATAGAGATCATGATTCTGCACAGCCAACTAAAAAAAAACAAATTAGTAATTGCTGCAGTCTATTTAAAACATATGTAATTTAATTATCTATTTAAAAAATCGGTTTGAGTGAATGATTCAATGACTTACTCATAAATGTTTCATGACTGGATGAATCTGCGTTTTTTCATCCTAATCTCACGAGTGAATGATTCGATGAGGGATACATTTTACCACTTGTCGCCACCTACTGGTATAACGATGCAATTGATAAAACATTTATTTGAAGCGGTGCTTTTTGTGCTACAACTCTCTCTGGATCAGAACACAGATCTGAATGTTCGCTGTGATCGCACTTGTCAAAGGTTTCATAGAGAAGAATCGCTGTCATTTAGGAATAAGATCGCGCGTGTTTTTGAATCGAGATTGCCATTTTCACAGATCCGTAGTACATATGAAAGCGCTATATAAATGCCTCATTCATTCAGCCAGGCCCGTAGATGGCGATGTCACTTTGTCAAGAAACACCTCATGAATACGTAATACACATGAGCTTGACGTCACCGTTTTCACAAATTCACGTTTTTGTTGTTTACATGGAGACGGTAAAGGCAAACCTGTTGTTGTGTAAATGAACGTAAAACTTTTTATGCGTTTTGGCCGTTCGTTTAATTGAACACAATAAAAGCGTTTTGGGGGCCTGAAAATGCAAGATTTTGAAAACGGTCTCCGTGTGAACAACAAAAACGTGAACCTCTGAAAATAATGACGTCATGCTCATGCGTATCACGTGTTCAGTCTACAGTGTTTCATCGCCATCTAGTGGCCTGGCAGCAGAATACAGCGTTATTAGTCGTTCTCGCGGATCCGTGTGAATGGGGATCGTTTTGACAATGGTGTCGTATGTACGTGGAAAACAAACGTCTCTGTTTTAAGCATATCGTTGTCGTGTTAACATCCCCATAGGCTACTGCTCACCTTTATTCTCATCAGTGTTTGTGGTTTCAGCGCGCGGCTCCGGTGTGAGCGCGGTCCGAGCGCGGGGAAACCGCTACTTTCTGTCTGCAGACGTCAGCGGGTTCGAGCCTCATGAAGTGGTTGTGGTGGCGTATAATCAGCATGTGGTTATTCATGCGGAGAAGGTGTGTGTGTGTGTGATCTCATGGGAAATATTCAGAATAGCATGCTAACGATTGTCTCAGGAATTTACAGGTGAATCTAAAAAAATTTATATATTGTGCACAATTTCAGTAATTCAACTTAAAAGGTGAAACTAATATATTATATAGACTCATTACATGCAAAGTGAGATATTTCAAGCCTTTTTTTGTTATGATTTTGATGATTATGGCTTACAGCTTATGAAAACCCCAAATTCAAAATTAGAATATTGTGAAAAGGTTTTCATATCTGTAATCCATAATCATCAAAATTATAACAAATAAAGGCTTGAAATATCTCACTTTGCATGTAATGAGTCTATACAATATATTAGTTTCACTTTGTTGAGAATTATTGAAATAAATGAAGTTTTGCACGATATTCATATTTTTTGGGTTTCACCTGTTGTAGTATGCAGTATATATTCACAGTATGCAGTGTACATTATACAAGTATATGTGTGAAACACACTCCTTGCGATAACGAAGTATGCTTAATGTGCACTTCAAATCTTAAGTGTGGTCTATCTTAAGGCCTATTTTTCTTCTGTAATAAGTTGTGTTTTTAAAAGTATGCCACAGTGTACTTCTTTTTTAACTCATTATTTGAACAGACTGACTTGAATTAAGGATTTTCTTTACATAATATTAGATTAAAATATGAAGTAGCTGTATTTATTTCTCAAATGATCACTGAATAAGTGTAGAATACTAGTTTATTAGTTTTAAATACTGTAAGATTTTTATTTTGCAAAATTGATACTTTTATTGAACAAGGACACATTAAATTGATTAACGGTGACAGTGAAGACATTTATAATGTTACAAAAAATCATATTTCAAATAAATGCTGTTCTTTTCAACTTTTTATTAATCGAATTTGAAAAATAAAATGTATCGCAGTTTCCACTAAATCTGATACATTGATATATTTCATAAAAAATATTTCTTGAAATATATTATACTGATTTCTGAAGGATCATGTGACACTGAAGACTGGAGTAATGATGTTGAATAAATTACACTTTAACATATATTCACATAGAAAGAGCTATTTAGATAATATTTACCGTATTTTTGATCAATAAATGCATCCTCGGTAAGCAGAAGAAACTTTCAAAAATATTTTAAAATCTTAGCGACCTTAAACTTGTCTCGTCTGGTTTCAGATCGGAGCAGACGGGAGCGTTGCAGGAAAGTTTACCCATAAGTCCGTGCTTCCAGCAGACATGAACCCTTTATCTGTGAGCAGTGAACTGACCGCCGAGAAGATGTTGATTATCAGCATCGAACGCATCCGTGACCCGGTCGTCCAGCCTCAAACTCACCTTTGACCTCTGACCTTCACTTCAGAGAGGAGAACCCGTCAAACTCAAACTCCACCGAAACCACAAAACACAAGCTCAGGGAGGATGTACACCAAATCTCAGATATGAGTAGAAATAGACAAGGTTCTATATAGAATCTTCAAACGCTTCATATTTAGAACCTTTAGGGGTTCTGGATCATTTTCAGGATTTAGTTTTATTTAATTAATTTTAATTACATTTTATGATCAAGCAGCTTGTAAACATACTTTATCACTTTATAGAGAAATCAATATAACTCATTAAACATGAAAGTGTTAGGTGATCATGTAACACATTTCTCCTTGTATAGAACCGTTTTGGTATAAAGAGTTCTTTAAAATTGAGTCAAGAACCCTAGAGTTCTCTAAGAGCGACTCTGATTCCTCTGTTCGGACTGAGCTTCAGTGTTTCAGTAAGCTATGATCTATTTCATCAGTCAGATGACATTACTGTATATTCACATATCACAAACATCATCTCAACAAGTCTTTAGTTGGCACCCAAAAAATGAAATAGGTTGTTTTGGTTTGCAGAAAATGAACATTGGAATGAGTGGATTGATGATGTGAATTTGATCTCTCTTGAGTTTGATGTTGTCAAAATGTCACAGTAACACTTTTATAATCTAAACCTTGAGATACACACACTGGAAAAGTGTGTTGTTTTACAAGAAAATACCATACTTCAAAATGTAATGTTTAATAATTCCATGTTCCATTGTCGTTTCTTTTTCTTTTCAGTGTGAGTTGCATATACAGTGTCTTTGTCAATGCAAAATCTATATTTAGACCATTCTCTTTTTCTAACATGAAATCATAAATCATCTTTTCCTAAGTGAGCTTGTATGTTAATCAGCCTCTTGCTTGATTTATTCATTTTTTGGTTTGTTTTTACTGTCTTTGTATTTTAGTTTTTACAATTTCCAATTTTTTATTCATCTATTTTCTGTATTGTATATTTCAACTCTTTAAATGCTCAGAGTTGTGCCAATTAAGAAGTCTCTCCATGTAGAAGATTATGATAAATGTGAATATAGAGGGACAATCTGTATGGGTTTAGTGATAATGTGCTTAAAAAAAAAAATAGAAAAAGTTCATCGAGACAGAACTTTAAGTTGGCTTGTGAAAGTTTGTAATAGAAAGTTTGAAGAAGTTTAAAGTATCAGAATCCAGAGTTTCAAGAAGATCAGAGAAACTCAAAATTTTGAGCCGAAAAAAAAATGACAGTGGTACCCCTTTCGGGTTTTTTTTGGGTCGAAATTTTGAGTTTTGATATCTCAGCTCTGGAAGGGTCTAGAGACTCCATTTTTGCACTCAGGTCTAATTCTCAGGGCCCTCTATCAGAATCCAGAGTTTCAAGAAGATCAAAGAAACTTAAAATTTCGACCCAAAAAAAAAAAAAAAAACGACAGTGGTACCCCTTTCCTTTCGTTTTTTTTTTTCGGGTCAAAATTTTGAGTTTCGATATCTCAGCTCTGGAAGGGTCTAGAGGCTCCATTTTTGCACTCAGGTCTAATTCTCAGGGCCCTCTATCAGAATCTAGAGTTTCAAGAGGATCAGAGAAACTCAAAATTTCGACCCGAAAAAAAAAAACGACAGTGGTACCCCTTTTGGGTTTTTTTCGGGTCGAATTTTTGAATTTCGATATCTCAGCTCTGGAAGGGTCTAGAGCCTCCATCTTTGCACTCAGGTCAAAGTCTCGTGGCCCTCTATAATAATCCAGAGTTTTGAGAAGATTGGAGAAACTTAATTTGTCGCCCAAAAACGAAAAAAAACGAAAGGGGTAACACTGTCGTTTTTTTTTCGGGTCGAAATTTTGAATTTTGATATCTCAGCTCTGGAAGGGTCTAGAACCTCCATTTTTGCACTCAGGTCAAAGTCTCATAGCCCTCTATCATAATCCAGAGTTTTGAGAAGATTGGAGAAACTTAATTTTTCGCCCAAAAACGAAAAAAAAACGAAAGGGGTAACACTGTCGTTTTTTTTTCGGGTCGAAATTTTGAATTTTTGATATCTCAGCTCTGGAAGGGTCTAGAGCCTCCATTTTTGCACTCAGGTCAAAGTCTCGTGGCCCTCTATCAGAATCCAGAGTTTTGAGAAGATTGGAGAAACTTAATTTTTCGCCCAAAAATGAAAAAAACGAAAGGGGTAACACTGTCGTTTTTTTTTTCGGGTCGAAATTTTGAATTTCGATATCTCAGCTCTGGAAGGGTCTAGAGCCTCCATTTTTGCACTCAGGTCAAAGTCTCACAGCCCTCTATCAGAATCCAGAGTTTTGAGAAGATTGGAGAAACTTAATTTTTCGCCCAAAAATGAAAAAAAACGAAAGGGGTAACACTGTCGTTTTTTTTTCGGTCGAAATTTTGAATTTTGATATCTCAGCTCTGGAAGGGTCTAGAGCCTCCATTTTTGCACTCAGGTCAAAGTCTCACAGCCCTCTATCAGAATCCAGAGTTTTGAGAAGATTGGAGAAACTTAATTTTCGCCCAAAATGAAAAAAAAACGAAAGGGGTAACACTGTCGTTTTTTTTTTTCGGGTCGAAATTTTGAATTTTGATATCTCAGCTCTGGAAGGGTCTAGAGCCTCCATTTTTGCACTCAGGTCAAAGTCTCACAGGCCCTCTATCATAATCCGAGTTTTGAGAAGATTGGAGAAACTTAATTTTTCGCCCAAAACGGAAAAAAACGAAAGGGGTAACACTGTCGTTTTTTTTTCGGGTCGAAATTTTGAATTTTGATATCTCAGCTCTGGAAGGGTCTAGAGCCTCCATTTTTGCACTCAGGTCAAAGTCTCATGGCCCTCTATCAGAATCCAGAGTTTTGAGAAGATTGGAGAAACTTAATTTTTCGGCCCAAAAAGAAAAAAACGAAAGGGGTAACACTGTCGTTTTTTTTTTCGGGTCGAAATTTTGAATTTTGATATCTCAGCTCTGGAAGGTCTAGAGCCTCCATTTTTGCACTCAGGTCAAAGTCTCAGCAGCCCTCTATCATAATCCAGAGTTTTGAGAAGATTGGAGAAACTTAATTTTTCGCCCAAAAATGAAAAAAAACGAAGGGGTAACACTGTCGTTTTTTTTTTCGGGTCGAAATTTTTGAATTTTGATTATCTCAGCTCTGGAAGGGTCTAGACCTCCATTTTGCACTCAGGTCAAAGTCTCACAGCCCTCTATCAGAATCCAGAGTTTTGAGAAGATTGGAGAAACTTAATTTTTCCGCAAAAAATGAAAAAACGAAAGGGGTAACACTGTCGTTTTTTTTTTCGGGTCGAAATTTGAATTTTGATATCTCAGCTCTGGAAGGGTCTAGAGCCTCCATTTTT